TTCTACTGTAAATGTTGAAACGGACAGGTCTCCTATATGGCACTGTAGCTTCACGAAATAGTGCCAAAGACATACAATGGGGGTATCGTTGTACTCAGCAGAAGTAACTGAACACAAAATAAAACTTTGTACAGGAATAGCACACACCAACTTTACAAAATATACATGGGAAGTTCTTTGTTATAAGTTTGTGTGCCAAAAACTCCAAAAAACTAAATTTTACTCCAATATTTAGCAGAGATTGGCGGTGAAATGGCTACTTAGAAAGTGTCAAAAAAACCTTAGGACAATAGCCTGTGATGTCTACTTTATATAAATATATACTTTTGTGTGGCAATTTTGTTTTCTTTTATGGCTATTAAGCTTACAAGACAAACATACAAAATTCTAAAATCGCTCTACATTAAAAGTTTATTTTACTCCTTGTGCTTTATGACCTGTAACTACCAAAAAAAACTTTAAATCCCAGACACATTATATATTTTGTAAATCAGAACAACTAAATAAATTTATTTTTAATTACTTTCTTTAACCTGCACTAATTAGGCACACATTATTATTGCAAAAACTGTACAAAAAACACAAAATTTTTCTTTTTTTTGCATTTTTCTGTATTTTTAAATAATAAATAAGCATTTATATATATATATGTTACATCAAATTAAAGCCCTTTATGTCCTTTAAAAAACAGTATATAATATGTGTCGGTGCAATAAACGAGAGAGATGCAAATTGCAGTTGAACGCATACAGCAAGAAAATGCAAAAATTGCTTGTGTCATTAAGCGTAAGACAAGCTTCTGAAGCTGTGTCCTTAAGGGGTTAAGTTACTTATGTTTCTATTATTTATATTCACAAAATCAGTTTTTAAAAAGACAAAAAATGTTCAATATGTTAATCAGTTCTATTATTTTATTATATTTTATTTTATGTTATTCAAGCATAACGCAAAGCACTTCTCTTAGGGCTGTTAAAACAGTTCACATTTACGAAATTACTTAAAAAAAAAAAAAAAAACAACCTTTTTTTATTCTATAAAATATATATTTTAAAAAATGAAAAGAAAATTGTAAGCCATACTAAGCTTATTAGCCAGCATGCAATACCTATATAGTATATACAATTGCACATTTCTTGAAACAAGGTCTGGTCCGTTTTGTTATGTTATGTTTTAATTGGCAATCCAAGATAAATTCTGATACAAGTTTAGCAAATGACAATGAAAATCACACTCAGCAAACTGTCCACATCCTATTCATTATTTAGCTCTAGTAACACATTTAGCACCCAACGTGACCACAACCACCTCTATATCTGATGTCTCTGTATTTTACCATTTTACAGTTGGACTGAGTGTGATACAACTTACACTGTTACGATTAGAGTCATATCTTCTGCATGAAGGTAAGTAGAAAAAAACCCAAAGCCTTTAACCCTCAAAATGCCACTGTTTACTTACCGGACATGGATTCCCAGAATTTAATGCAAATAAGAAAACGGAGTCAAAAACAAAATCTCTTTATCTCTCTACCTCTCTCTCTCTTTCTATCTGTCTATCTATCTAACGAAAGAAGGACAAAGTGCAAAATCTAGTGTATAGTAGTATGGTTATAGTATGGGTGAGACAAATAAAAGAAATGTACTTACAATTTAATGTAGCTGATAGTTAGCTTACAATATATGTGCCTGAGCGGTACAATCCCCACCTATGGATTTACTTAATGTCTTGATCCAATGGTAGAACTCCAGATGGTATAGGATAAAAACACCAGTGTAGTGTTGTATATTAAGTACACCAGATAAAAGAGATTGTGTTGGTGTGGAAATACAATCACAGTTTTGGGAGCCCACAATTGGCTCTCAGTTATGTATGTGTAATAGAGTAATTCATTCCTTTGGGTATACCGGGTTCCCACTTTTTGGCATTTGTAGCACCAGATTTTCACCAGAGATATATGAATAGGAAAGAAATAAAAAATATATAGTGCTCACTGTTAAACTAAGTAAAAAGAATTAAAGGAGATGTACTCAAAAGTGGAGAGCAAAGGAGGTTTTGCTCAATCAATATGGCATAGGAGGTATATTCCCACCAAGCAATTAGATAAAACAATCTTCAGGATGAAATCAGGAAGGTCCAATGTAGATTAAAAAAAAAACAACAAAAAAAACCCCACAAACATTTTATTGAAATATATATTTATATTTAAATATAAAAGCATAACGGAGCAACACCCTGATGTGTTTCACTTAATTAACATGCTTTCTAAAAGTGTTGCAGGCATGTGGACCATCACTGCTTAAATAGGAGTAAACAATTCAAACATAACAGTCACATGACATCATAGTCATGTGACCAAAGTACTTAAGTTAAAATCAAATAAAAACAATAAATCACAACAAGGATTAGTAAAAGGATATAATACGTTATAAAACTAGTAAAAAGGGGGACTAAGATGGCCACCGCAGGCTCGGATCACATGGTCAGCGCGGCCGCAGCTAAAAACAAACATATGGTGGACACGGGGTACCTAGGGGGATAGAAGGAAAGGGGTTTGTTTAATAATATGAGGGCTGGGAATGGCAATCAGAGGGCCCAAAAGATCTAGTGAGATGGTGTAGTGGCCCACACTACTTGATCGTCATGGGTCGTGGCAATGAACAATAATCCAAAAACAAATAATGATTTGCAACTGAATGATTTCAACCTCCTTAACACTGGGAACTCCTCTAAAAATTATATTGGGTTTATCTGGTAAAATGTTTTTTAATACATCGTCCTATTTTACAATTCCTTAGTGTTTTTTTTTTAATGTTTTAATTATCTTTTACATTTTAAAACTCTTATTATTAAAATCCAGAATGATGAGCCTAGTTATAGTCTTTGTTAATTTATAGTGATGATGTTGTATTAGTTTGTTTCTACCAAGTTCTTTAATATCCTTAATCAACAGGTCAATCTCCCCAGCATTGTCATTTTTCTCTTTATCTTATCTGAGAAAGTGGACTTGCTCTTGAAAGACGTTTTGGCTTGTGCAATTTCATCTCGATCTGGTAGACTCTTTTATGCTTTTACATTTTATTTTTAATAAAGTGTGTTTTTATCTACATTGGACCTTCCCCATTTCATCTTGAAGATTGTTTAATCAAACTCCTTAGTGGGGAATATACCTCCTATGCCATACGGATTGAGCAAAATCTATTTTGCTCTTTACCAGTCAGTACATCTCCTTTTATTATTTTCACAGTGAGCACTATATTTTATTTCTATTTTATTCATATATCTCCGCTGAGAATCTACTCTGAGAATCTGCTACTATGAATACCAAAGAGTGGGAACCCCTGTATATGTAAAGGTGTGGATTACTCCACTACACATGAATCACTGAGAGCCAATTGTGGTCTCCAAACATTGTGAGTGTGGAGGAAGAAGGACAAAGTGCAAAATGCCCCATCCATTCCGACACATTCACTTTTATCTGGTGTATCTAATATACTACACTATATTGGTGTTTTTCTGTTTTTGTTTTAACCATCTGGAGTTCCCCACCTGGATCAAGCTTCCAAGTGAATCCATAACACAAGTGCTAGAAACCTTACCCTGTAAACTATTTTTAATATATGTACCTGAGCGTATAACAAGATAGAAGATGGCCATCAAGATTCATTATGAGTCTCAGAGAATCAGACTGTGATGTATTAGTTAGGTTGGTAGGGGTAGGATGGGTACGGACAATTACATCTACAACTTTTCTCTGCAAAAGGCAAATTCTCTATCTATCTATCTAGTTGACCAGCTGGCTGAATTTATAACATGATGGGAAGAACAGTTCGACAATGGCTTAAAAATAATAAACATAAAAAATCTATTGTCAATGTTTCACTTTTAAATAAAAACCATGGACAGGATCAATTCCTTGAATCCTTGAGTTCAAGATGTTCCATTAATGTACTCATAAATATATAGTACATATAATCAGAGCTAAAAGTTTTGCTTAATCTGCAAACCACGAATCTGTAAATGAATTCTCAAGAATTACCATCTAACCACAAGAATATTTCTTATTTGATATTTACTAAAATATTATCTATGTATTTCTAAACACATTATTAATCAGACGTTAACATATAAAAGTAGGGGTGAAACAGTAAAAATTTAATTAAACTTTTTTTCTTACACATAGTGTGGGAGGCAAAACTTCAAAACAATGTCTAAACCACATCGTAACAATATTTCTTAAAGAGGAATTAACACGTCACTAAACTATCATTACGCAGAGCAGGTAAGTAAAAAATACAAACACACAGATCTCTGCAGCTCTTACAATGCTCTGGCCATGCTAATGTGCCTTTGGACATCTACAGATAAAGGTCGTACATATGCCCATACACTGGGGCAGTCCTTCAGTAAATGAGGCACTGTGGGATTTAAATGAATTTATAAGGTATGCTCTTGTTGTATTTGGACTATCAAGTATATTAAGTAAAAACCGATGAAAAAAATATTGTGGATTAATTTAAAAATAAATGTAAAAAAATAACAAACCCTATAACTACTTTTTAGCCAGTTATCAGTTGTGCAAAAATGTAAAAACAGTACATGTAACAATTCTGCTTATGTACTGCTTTGTAGTCATGTTGAAAATGTACAAATATTCATATACACTTATATACACATACATAGACACATAGACAAACAGATAGATGGATGCATGGATCGATAGATATACATTAAATTCTGGGAAACCATGTCCGGTGAGTAAATAGTGGCAATTTGAGGGTTATGTGGAAGAAATATATTATCAGTTTTAAACCCATGTTTGAAAAAGTGACCCGCCCTTTGCCTGCCTTGGTGGGGTGTGTATAACCACAGGAAGGCAACGCAAAATATGTTTATTGCTTTAGAGATCTATTTAAACTCTGATACCACAGGTACAACTTATACCTAATCCCATCCCTGAATATTGACCAAGACCCACATCTTGTGACTGAAGCTCTGAAACTATGGTTGAAGAATCAGAGACACCAGATTACTATGAATTCTATGACTATGACAATGAGAATGACACCGAAGAGTCTTGCCCATCTCAGGACATGCCTCAAGCCAACTGGATCCTCCCGATACTCTACTCTGTTTTTTTCATAGTTGGATTTATTGGGAATGTGGTGGTGATGATTGTTTTGTTCAAGAGGAGCTCACGAAGGGCAGACACCTTTATTCTCAACCTTGCAGTTTCTGATTTTATTTTTGTTCTGACATTGCCTATGTGGTCATCCTCCCTGGCACTGGGTGGATATTGGCCATTCGGCATTGACCTTTGCCGTGCCAGTGGTTTCATTATTGCGGTTTCTAGATGTGCCAGCTCCATGCTCATGGCTGTCATGAGTGTGGATCGCTACCTTGCAGTCAGGAAGGGACAGAAAGTTCATCCACTTCGCGTTCATACCTGCTCGTTTGTAACCTGTTGCACAATTTGGGCTTTCTCAATCCTCACTGGTGTTCCAACACTTATTTACCGCCGCATTGACAACATTACTCTGGGCTGCGTAGAGTATTCGGAGTCACCAGTCTACGCAGGTCTAAAGTTATCTACTGTTATCATCACATTTGTTCTGCCCTTTCTGATTGTTGTCTTCTGCTACTGCAGCATGGCCAAGTATCTGTGGAGCTACTTCGGAGGAAAGAAAGACACCGCAAACGGGATGATGAAACGGCGATCCCGGCACAGCTGGCTGCGCATTGTCTTTTGCGTAGTTGCCGCATATTCCCTCTCATGGTTCCCTTTTACCATTCTCAATACTGTTAAATTAGTGAGCAACCTGGGCATAGATCTGCCCTGCCACCTCTGGACTGCTACAGAACAAGCTCTAACTGCCGCAGCTGCCCTGGCCTTTGCCAACAGCTGCACCAACCCCCTGATCTACACTTTTCTAGATGCTGGTTTTCGACGAAGAGCAAGACAAATTCTGCCGTGGTTGCTTTCAAACTGCTGCACTTTTAAACAACTTTCTATTCGAGGTTGGAGTGTCTCGACTACTCTCAGAAGCATGGAAAGCACCAGCTATACAGACAGTGTAGGACGGCAGTCGGCATAATTCACAGACTTCATCGCTTCATTAGCCAAGATTTGGAGTCAAGAGAAAAGGGCGAACCAGGTTCAATATGTACAGTACCTGACTCGATTGCATTAACTGGTTCGATTACTGCGATTTAAAGTTGGTGATTTTATTAGTATAAAACTCTAAATGTTATGTTGTGCTGGCAAAATATCTACATTAAAAGCTATATTAAACAAATGTCTGCTTCCAAACCTCCACTGCAAAAAAAACAAAAAGGTATTCACTAAACTGTCCATTGTTTGAATCCAAAGAGAATTCAAAAATGATTTCAAATTTAAGGTCACAACAGCAAAATTATAAACTTTAATGTAGACCATCATTTAATCTAACATTTTAAATCTACATTGAATTCATCATGCATTGTTAATAATTCACACATTGGCTGAATTAATCCTGTATGCTGGGCACATCTTTGTGAGGTTGCATGAATGCATGGGTACGTACATGCTAATTGAATTCAAGATATAGTGCGAGACGATAGCTACAATTTAAAGGGACAATAATGTTTACGTTTTATTACTATTTGCGAGTAAATGGTAAGTTTCACGTTTTCACAAGTGCAAATTCAAATCATCTGCATTTTTCTCACATTGTGTAGCAGGCGTTTGTGTATTACACCCACTCCAGCATGAGAATTTTACTTAACTCTAAATTAAGGTCCCAAAGGAATAGAAAATAAACATTTTGTGATAATAAATCATTTTCAGAACATTAAAAAATACACTGAAAATTGGTTAAAACAAAAAAAAAATTTGTAAGATAATCAAAATTAGAAAATACATTTGCAGAAAAGATAAATGTTAAAAACAAGTATAAATATATAATGTTTTGTAATGATACTTCACGAGCCCCTGTATGTGTCAGAATTTACACATTTTGTAAAGTGCTGAAAATATGATATTATAATCAGAAGTGCACGGTGTGCTTCTAGTGTTATGGAATATTTAATAATCAAAAATCCCAGTTCATGTTTTTAATTTGTAATTTACAAAAAAAACTATAAATTGTATTTTTGTCCAAATGTTATATTTGGTGTAGGGTTTGCATGTAGTCTTATATAGTACTTAAATAATAATATTTATTATTATTAATTTCATGCTATTATTTTCAATTTACGAAATAAGTTAAATTTTATTTATGAAAATAATTTTTGCATTTGCTTTCTGAACGTGATATGCATATAGCTCTGTCTTTGAAATCAGTAAAACTGTGTAATCTAGCAATCTGATTTCATATTTCTAACCAAATCAGTAATGTGATGTTCGGACTAGTTTTGTAGGTATTTTTCTGATTGTAATTTGCACACCCCAACTATTAAAAAATGTGACTACATAAATCATTAAAACTTTACTTAATCCCGGGGTGCATTTGAGATAATGTAATATAGTCATCTTTAATTTCATCTTATTTTATTACAGTCGTATTTATCAATGTATTAATGATCAATTAATGATTAATATGTATGATATACTGTATTAATTATTACAAAATGATTTAATAAAACAGGATAAGGGTATGAGAAATCATCAAAGGTGCATAAAAATAGCTTGTCAAATAAAGTGGACAAATTGAAGGACAATGGGCAAGTGGGCAAGATGAGACAAGTTGAGATGAGCAGATAGAAGAGATAGGACAGCAAAGATATATACACAGTTACATCACTTAAACTCTTGAAGCTCAAATCCATGTAGAAAAACTGGTTTATATCATATCAATGTACCCTCAGCAGGACCCAGTGGACAAAACAAGTTTACATTCTTTCAGTGTTCCACCAAGAGGTCCATGTAGATAAACCGGTCTATGATCATGTCCATGTGGATAAAACAAGTCTACATCTTCTCACTGTTCCACTAACAGGTCCATGTAGATAAACCAATCCATATAATCTAAATGTACCATGATCATGTCCATGTGGATACAACAAGTCTACATCTTCTCAGTATTCCACCAGCAGGTCCATGTAGATAAACTGCTCTATATGATCTCAATGTACCATGATCATGTTCATGTGGATTAAACATGTCTACATCTTCTCAGTGTTCCATCAGTTGGTCAAGTAATCTGGTACTAATCTTGTAAAGTACTAAACTGGGAATATTTCTCAAGGTTCAGTCTGGAAAAAGTTTCAACCTATCCTAAAACTACCATAATCAAATTCACAAAGGTAAACAGTTCTATATAACACCAGTGGAGTTTATTCACTAAAACCCAAATAGTAGTAGACTAATTTTAGAATGGCAACATTTAGGCTAAATTTGCCAGGCTGTAGCTATAAATTTCAATTCGTCACAATTCTGATTTTAGTGGATAGATCCCTATTGTGATTCCTCAGTTACAATTAATGAGATGACAGAGGGAAGGAGGGAATGTAAAGTTGGGCAGCACTGTCTGAGCTGTAACAGTGGCAACTCCAGAGTTGGGTTTCCATTACTGAAATATTATTCCCCAGAATCTCCATGTATGGAGACATTGGAACCATAGAGCTCAATTCCCACTTAAGAACGGTCTTTATTAACTGAAAAAAGCCCAATGTAGTAGATAGCGATTTAAGCACTAATAGCGAATTAACCAAAATAAATATGAATTCTCTAAGTTGTAAATCTCACTGTGACATAAAGAGAGTAGTAGATACCTGGAACAGCCTTCACGTAGAATTGGCTAAGGCTAATAGTGATATAAGAAAGCTTGTTGGTAGATACCAGAATAGCTTGCCAGTGGAATCAGAAAAGCATAACAATGATACAGAAATAGTAGTAGATATATGGAATAGCCTTCCAGTGGAAGCAGTAAATGAGAACAGTGATATTTAAAGCGTAGTAGATACATGGAATAGCCTCCCAATGGAGGCAGCAAAGGGTAACAGTCAGTGTTATCTATATTGTATTACAGTAGCAAAATTCAAAATAGCCGAGCTGTGACTATAGCCTGAGCTGTGACTATAGCCGTGCTGTGACTATAGCCGAGCTGTGACTATAGCCGAGCTGTGACTATAGCCGTGCTGTGACTATAGCCGTGCTGTGACTATAGCCGTGCTGTGATTATAGCCGTGCTGTGACTATAGCCGAGCTGTGACTATAGCCGAACTGTGACTATAGCCGAACTGTGACTATAGCTCAGCTGTGATTATAGCCGTGCTGTGACTATAGCCGAGCTGTGACTATAGTCGAGCTGTGACTATAGCCGAGCTGTGACTATAGCCGAGCTGTGACTATAGCCGAGCTGTGACTATAGCCGAACTGTGACTATAGCTCAGCTGTGATTATAGCCGTGCTGTGACTATAGCAGAGCTGTGACTATAGTCGACCTGTGACTATAGCTGAGCCACCATACCTTGAATTCAGGCAGAATCTCCTCTTCATTGTCTTCATCAAGTACTCTTTATTTGATGGTAGATGGCCATTATAATACGGAATGGTTAACAGAGTGTGAGCTGTGTATAGTGTGATCTGATTATAATATAATACAGAGCAGGCAGAGTGCAGTGCGAGCTGTGTATAGTGTGATCTGATTATAATATCATAATACAGAGTAGGCAGGGTGCAGTGCGAGCTGTGTATAGTGTGATCTGATTATAATATCATAATACAGAGCAGGCAGGGTGCAGTGCGAGCTGTGTATAGTGTGAGTTGATTATATCATAATACAGAGTAGGCAGAGTGTAGTGCGAGCTGTGTATAGTGTGATCTGATTATAATATCATAATACAGAGTAGGCAGGGTGCAGTGCGAGCTGTGTATAGTGTGATCTGATTATAATATCATAATACAGAGTAGGCAGAGTGCAGTGCGAGCTGTGTATAGTGTGATCTGATTATATCATAATACAGAGCAGGCAGGGTGCAGTGTGGAGCCCGGCTGTGACCTCCCATCACTGAGTGATGAGAACCTGACCTCACTGTCACCCTGATGAATCATTTTGGCTGGTACCATCACCCAGCTCAGCTTCAGGTTGACTCACTTCTTGCTTTGCCAACCATTGAGAGTGGAAAGAGAAGAGTTCTCACACTCAGACTCACCCTGTCTGTCTGACACTGTCTGCAAATACAGATATTAAATGCAGATCAGTGATAGGACCCAATCAAATAATGCTCAGGTTGGACAGAATCAGACAGCGCTGGGTTAATATCAGGACAGGATCAGACAGTGCTGGGTTTATATCAGGACAGGACCAGACAGCGCTGGGTTTATGTCAGGACAGGACCAGACAGTGCTGGGTTTATATCAGGACAGGATCAGACAGCGCTGGGTTTATATCAGGACAGGACGAGACAGCGCTGGGTTTATATCAGGACAGGACGAGACAGCGCTGGGTTTATGTCAGGACAGGATGAGACAGCGCTGGCTTTATGTCAGGACAGGACGAGACAGTGCTGGGTTTATGTCAGGACAGGACGAGACAGTGCTGGGTTTATATCAGGACAGGACGAGACAGCACTGGGTTTATATCGGGACAGGACGAGACAGCGCTGGGTTTATGTAAGGACAGGACGAGACAGTGCTGGGTTTATACCAGGACAGCATCAGACAGCGCTGGGTTTATGTCAGGACCGGATCAGACAGTGCTGGGTTTATGTCAGGACAGGACGAGACAGTGCTGGGTTTATATCAGGACAGGACGAGACAGCGCTGGGTTTATTTCAGGACAGGATGAGACAGCGCTGGTTTTATACCAGGACAGGACGAGACAGTGCTGGGTTTATGTAAGGACAGGACGAGACAGTGCTGGGTTTATACCAGGACAGCATCAGACAGTGCTGGGTTTATATCAGGGCAGGATGAGACAGTGCTGGGTTTATATCAGGACAGAATCAGACAGTGCTGGGTTTATATCAGGACAGGATCAGACAGCGCTGGGTTTATATCAGGACAGAATCAGACAGTGCTGGGTTTATATCAGGACAGGACGAGACAGCGCTGGGTTTATGTCAGGACAGGATGAGACAGTGCTGGGTTTATACCAGGACAGCATAAGACAGT